GACACGGGTTTTCCGAGTAATGTTCCTCCTCTTCAAGCAGGATGGGCTATACGCGCCGAAGAGGAGAAACACGGACAAGGTTTTCCTTAGCCGTGGCCAACAATCCTGCCTCTTTTATCAAGTAAGTATGTAACTACTTACAGATTTTTAGAACTGCCGGTAAAGCTTGCATATACACTAGCGGATTTGCGCAATGTCGCTGTCTCTCTTTGTATGACATGATGCTTGTCTAAGCTTATCTACACAACATTAGCTTCTTATGGTAAAATTCGTCTTAATTTATTGAATGATATAAAAAGTAGTTTAGATAGTTGATGATCTATATAGCGCTACTCTTCGTTAGAAAAAATTACTTCCACTGATTTTCCTCATAAGTGTTATCCACTTGGTGAACATGGTCCGCCATTTTTCGAGTAAAAGTGAGACTTTTTTCTAATGATTTTATAGAGGAGAAAAAGTTGTACAATATATATGAAAATCAGCGTGAGATCTTTTGAAATGGCTGAATGATATTGAATACACTGTGATAAACTACAAAAAATTGACTGTTTTTTCAATTGAAAAATGAGTACTCACGAACAGTATTTCGTAAATAACTATAAATTAGTCTGCACAAATATAATATGTAAATAAGTAGTTTTGTTGAGCTTTCGATGCTCTATCTTTTGGTATGTAACACGAAAAATTTTGTTAAACTATTGTTATCTAAAACAACCTCAAGTTTATAGGACCGATTTTTGACCATATCCTTGAAATATCTTTGTTAGTGATCGTTAGTAAATTTCAGATAACTTTTTACCAGCTTATCGAAATGCGTTAAAAATTTGGATTTAGAGGTTTTAGATGATGCTGAACAAAATGAGAACATCAAAACAAAAAACTAAATTTTGACGAGTGCTTCGGTTATAAGTACTGTACTTGACGGTCTCACGGGTCCTCTCTTAATTAATATCCATAACGCAGAGACACACCGATACCCACACCCCACACCCACCCACCCTTTCTCTAGGGTTTACATTTGCTCGTATGGTGTGGGAACGCATGGTGAACAGACAGACAGACATTCCTATTTATCTGCATAGATATAGATAACCGTGAACAAATAATATAGAAGATGATCTTCGTTTTCTTGTCAAATCTTTATATCATACCCACATGTCACGCTATATGATGTATTTAAGAATGAAGTGAAATATGATAGCTAGTTATTAAAGTTAGTCAATGCATGTGACATTAATAATATATGAACCATGTTTAATGAAGTTCGTAGTCATCTGTGCAAGCGCGTGCAGGACAATTTGGTGGATGAGGTATTTCAAACACTAAGAAATCACCACAATGTGTGCTGCGAATTGCTTTAGATGATGAACAAGGATTGCCAATCTCATCGACGTAACACAAAGTGCTAAGTGACGTTGTTCCAGGTTCTCTGGGATAGACGCCAAGTATCCATCCAGCTTTTACACTACCACAACGACCGTTGGGAGCTTTTCTGACGATGGCAGTACCAGCTCGATCAACAAAGCGCACCCATCCTACCATATCACGATCACAAAGATCACCTTTGCCTGAGTTAACACGACGAGTAGCATCACCACTAACATTGTAGCTTGTACATTCGATTGGCAAACCTGAATAATGACAATAAGTTTTTCAAATCTTTAATAAATGAGTAATTCAACTTTGTATATTCAGCTATGCAACTATTATTCGTGTAATTAATCGCCCACACGAATATGATAGCACCAAAGAACTGTACTGCCCTCCTCTCATTACAAATACGATAAAGTCTATTGTGTCAAATGTTTCGAGAAATTGATGAAATCCCGTTATGATGGGTATTTGTAAAACAAGCAAAAACCCCCAAACCGAGAGCTGATATTGTCAGTAGATAGAGGTCGCCGAGTTGGCTCTACGGACACCCAAAACGGGTGAGCATTAGAAAAATTTTCCGATGCACACTGATTTTTTCAATCCACGAACACCCATATGTTTTGCCTGTGAGTAGATCTACTCCAGTTATATATATACCCTAAATATCAGACTCTTATCATTTTGATTAAGAAAAATAGCACATACGAAAAAAGCAAATTTTTGGTAACTTTGGTGATTCATAACTTTTGTTCAGGATGAGATAGAGGTCTGAAATTTCTACTGTACATAGAACAATCAAAGATGTATATCCACTCAAAATTTCAGTTATACAAGTGGTTCCCTTTGGTCAGGACAGTTCTCTCAAAAATGGATTTTTGATACATTTTGAGGTTTTTCAGGATAGACTATCTCTCAAAGTAGCGGTCACTTTTGAACTTAATCTGTAGAAATTGGAGGTACTCTATTAAGTCTCCTACACTCTAAGAAACATTGGTTCTCTACTGAACCCTAAAATTAGGTTCGGCAGTTTATAAATACCGTTCAAATGGTTCGAGATGCCTAAAAAACGATTATTCAGTTCTACGAAACCTTTAAAGGTCTTTCCCTTGATACACGAGCCGAAACTTCTCCTACGAAACCTTTTTTTAAGTTCTGTAGTGAAAAAAAAAGGTTCGGTAAGAAAACACGAAACCTATAGAGTTCCGTATGAGAAACTCTCAAACTCTTCAGGTTTGGTAAGAAACCACTGAGGTTTAATACGAAACTCTATGGATTTCGCGTTTTCTTACGGAACTTTTTTTTCTCTACGGAACTTAAAAAAGGTTTCGTAGGAGAAGTATCGGCCCGTGTATCAAGAGAAAGAACCTTTAAAGGTTTCGTAGAACTGAATAATCATTTTTTTAGCATCTCGAGCCATTTCGACGCTATTTCCAAATTGCTGAACCTTTTTTCGGGTTCAGTAGAAAACCAATTTTTTTAGAGTGTAGAATCATTCTAAGAAATACCACGCTAATATTTTTGTAGGATTGTAGACTTAATAGAGTACCTCCAATTTCTACAGATTAAGTTCAGAAGTGACCGCTACTTTGAGAGATAGTCTATCCTGAAAACCCCCAAAATGTATCAAAAATCCATTTTTGAGAGAACTGTCCTGACCAAAGGAAACCACTGTATAACTGAAATTTTGAGCGGATATACATCTTTGATTGTTCTATGCACAGTAGAAATTTCAGACCTCTATCTCATCCTGAACAAAAGTTATGAATCACCAAAGTTACCAAAAATTTGCTTTTTTCGTATGTGCTATTTTTCTTAANTATTCTCTATGATTTCCTCGAAGTCTAGTGTCGGAAGCAACATTAGAATTCTTTTAATATTCATATTCTTGCAGAACTTGACGAATTCTATCGAAACCGTATAAAAACAACTGGAAACAATAGGCATGCGAATGATTACTATGGGAATAACAAACGCACAGAAAGTTTAGTGTGAGAAAAGTTAAATACGAGAACGATCAACAGTGAAAACTTAAGAATGGAAAGAAATCAAGAAAAATATGAAAATTGAAAAAATAATAAATAACTATTATAAAAATTTAATTCGAAAGTTTCTATTCCTCTCTGTAAAATAACGTTATCTATATGAAAATTACTACAGATAGTTAATTGAAATATATAGTTTTGTAGAGAATGTAAATGCCATCATTCGAAAAATAAATGTTGAAATTTTGTCGTAGTTATGGAAAGTTAGGATCGTTTTATTTATGATGATTAAACATTTAACGCATTATATTTCTGTAGAGACAACATGGATATAATGTCCGAACTGTTATATTGTTTTCCAGGTGTTTTTATACGGTTTCGATAGAATTCGTCAAGTTCTGCAAGAATATGAATATTAAAAGAATTCTAATGTTGCTTCCGACACTAGACTTCGAGGAAATCATAGAGAATAATAAAAATTTTATCGTTCATTAGAGTGTGGTGCACTTTCAGCATATGCTGATCGACTATTTTGTCTTCTTATGATGCTTAATAAATGGAGGAACTTTGGATTTTATCCGAAAGTTAAATGTACTGCAAAAAGTGAATGAGACAGATTGAGTCATTCTAGAATGCCACGGCAGCAAAATTATCGTGAGGCATCTTTTCTATAAATACGACTTCTATTCATTCTTGCACCTCCACAAAGATTTAGAATAGAATAAAACTCACACTTGGACTCCTCACCTTTAACTATTCTAACAGAACCCTTTTTTGTCATAAGTTGATGTAGATGGTTACTGCTCAACCGATGGGGCTTTGAAGCAAATGGAGTACAGATTCAAGTTCTCTGACCCAGAGAAACTCGAAGTAGCATACGTATGATCCGATAAAAGAACTCGAATTATGGGCTTCTCAGGCCATTGACAATATTCCAACCACTTCTTTAATTTTGCTTGCTTTATAGATCACTGAACATTCTTATTCATTTACACATTAGATACTATTTTGTAGCAGATAAAATTCTCTGTCATAGGATGTATAAAAAAAATAGTGGGATTGTATTCAACTCTGATGGAAAAGTTTCTTACAAAAGCGACGATATAACGATCTTCCCATAGAAAATCATAGGAATAAATTAGTATTTTTGCAATAACTCCCTAAGAGCCTATCCAATCAGGCTCGTGTTCGAACTCGTCCGAAACATTAATGAAATTGAACCGTGTGAAAAATTTCATCAGGATCTGACTCTCTCTTCAAAAGTTATCATGTAAACGGCCGGCCGGCCGGACGCACTGATCGATTCTATAGTAGACTCACTTTTTGAGTACACTCAAAAACAAGAAAGAATAAATAAATAATCAATATCTCTATCTATGTCACCCTATTCATTGACCATTGACTCTACTCTTAGAGTGACATAATATCTTTTATTTAGTGGAATTATGGTCGTAAGCAACCTCATGAATTTATAAATGATATATGATAGATACAGGCATCAGTATTTTCTCAATAAATCAACGATATTAATTACTATCCAGGTCGAAGTTTTACATTTCGATAGCCATTTTGACTATCTACAAAACCAGGTATTTAAGAAACCACCAACTACTGATCATTTGAGACATATCTAGACAATTTGGGTTCTGGATGCAGCTTTTATGCATTTTTCACACCTTTTTCAGAGTATGTTTCATTAGAAAATTAAAATTGATTCAAGACTAATATCAGATTCAGAATCAGCGTTAAAAAATGAGTCGATTTATGTATTTTGTGAAATCACAATTTTTTCGGTAACTCAGCCATTTCTTGACGGATCCTTCTCATCTTCGAACTCGACCGAGATATTGGCAAGACTAAACTGTGTAGAAAATTTCATCGCAATCTGACTTTCCTTTCGAGATTTATTATGTAAACGACATGGCGGACGGACGGATACACAGACCGATTTTATTAGTGTACTCACTTTTTCAGTAAACTAAAAATGATGTTTTCAGGTTCAGTATGTAATATTTCATCTTGAAACATAAATTAGCATTCGATTAACTAGAGTTATTGAAACTCAAGCATACTTTAATGCAAAATATCTGGAATTTTTATTATTTTTCTGATTTTATCTAAATTTTGTATTGGGAAGAAAGCTGAAAATTTCTTTCATACTCATATTCTTGTAGAGCTGATTGAACTCTGAGAGAGACCGAAACGAATAAGAAAATCTCTATTCGGATTCGATGCCACCCAACCATCTTCAAAAAATATTCTTGTCAGATTCTATTCGTTTTTCGGTCTCTGAGTTCTATCAAACCATATCAAAATGTCTAGTAAAAAAATGCAGAAAACGGTGTTTCAATCAACTTAAAAATGCCACAAATATTAAATTTTCTTTTTCTTTTTGCAAAAGATGTAATGTGTTAAATGTTTACTCATCATGAATAAAATAATCCTCACTGTTCATAACTATGACACAATTTCAACTTGTTTTTTTTTTAAACGATAGTTCTCCCCATTCTCTATAAAACTATATATTTCGAGAAAGTTTCAAATGGTCAGGCGACGACTTGAATAGACAGACACAATCATGGCTTTCATCACATTAGAAATATGAATATCTAAAAATACGAGATGTTGTGATGAAATCTACAGGACAACTATAATGGTTAATACAGGTAGTTCGTAACAGCTGCAGAGCTTTTGCAACGAATCAATAGAATTTTGTAATGGAATATATTTTAGTATTGCTTCACTTACATAAACAAATTACATGAGTTTCGTAACGAATCGTACAGAGCTTTCATAACAGCTACAACAGGATTTCTCAGGATATATTTCTAAGAATGTAACAGCGTCAAATCAGGGTTGTGGTAACGAGTTTAATAGAGAATACATAATCGTTCATTCAGGATTTTCTTTCCATAAAAATATAGTGTGTTCGGGCTAGATTGGAGAGTTATCGTGGCGAAAAAGCAGGACTGTCGTAAGCAATCGTTTTCCCTCTGTGTATTGTCACTTATATTTCTACATTAAAGGATCGTACGAGAACCCTTTGTAAAGAATTATGATAATCCTCCAAAATTGATTCCGAAATACCTGTAACTGACAACGTGATGTTGTAAAATGGCACATATCAAAACAGTGATTACGACTACCCTATAAAAATCGTTACGAAACTTCTGATTTTGTCGTGATGAAACTTCTGTTACGAGCTTTCGCAGCGAATTGATAGTACGAAAGCCATATAAGAAAAATCGTAACTAGTAGAAAATTTCCATGCATCATCCTTGTTGTGATATATTTTGCATAGGTCGCAGTGATGATCCTTACTTTGACGATATTTTCCTAGTCCAAGTGATGCAAGCATTTCATCAAATTCTTTTTTAACATTCCATGAAGGTGGTTTCATTTGTTGATCAGCTGATCGATTAGCTCAATTTTTCCATCGACGTATTTGTTCCAATGCATGTTTAAATAAAGTAGGTGGAAAATCCAGAAAGATTTTTCCATTATTGTCGCGTTTAATCAAATTGAATTGATTTGTATCATCATTTGTAAATATTGAAGCGAGAATTGTATTTGGTATATAAGTCAGAGTCTCTTGTGTAGCATACATTAGTTCACCACCTACGTTCAGTTGTAAAACTTTGTTCCTATGTTCTACGAAAAATCTATTTCTGGCGCTTCTTTCTTCGTGTAGCTGACTGGATAGGTTCGATGAAGATTCTACAACTGCACTATTTGCTTTTGTTAATAAAAACAAAAATATAAAAGCCATTATGCACTATAATAATCAGAAAGAATGAGAGTTCTTCCGCATTTGGCTGCAAATAAAATATTGTACGAACTTTTATCAACAACACTTTAAAAGGACCTGGTCAACTATTAGAAAATACGAATATTTCAAAATTTATAGCTTGCCACGAGCTATTGCTACAAGATAAATGACATTTCAGATAATGAAACGATCATTAAATTTCATTTGTTTGAATTTAATCGATTAAAATTTTCGTTGTAATCGAAAGTATTGGAAAACATCAAAGTCAATGACTGTTTCATGATAAAAATGTCACTGTTTATTTTTTAAAGTTCCTATGAAGATAACTATGATCAAATTAATTAGAAAACAGATGTGCACTGTTCGATACTCACTAACATAAAACAAGTTTGGCTTTCATTTATTTCAGTTTTTAGCTTAATTGATGCAGTTTTTATCGAGTTTATAAATCTAGTGGAGATTGGAAAAATATTTTTCAATTTCATAATAAAAAACACTGTAAATGTACAAATATGCAGCTTATTCATTGGAAATTTGATTTAAATTTTTATTGTTCTTTATTTGATTATAGGAATATGTACAGATTTTTATAGTATTGATAAACAGTCATCACTAAGTTGTAGTTTTTGTATTAAAATAAATGCATAAGATGTCTCAAAAGCCTGTTGAAAAAGTTTACGTTAATAACTCCTAAACAGTTCAAATGATTTGCATATTTTTTTTAATAATCAGGATACATTCTTGAAAGTTTTGTTCTGTATATTTCAGATAAATGTTTATAACAACAAACCTTGGAACAAAAATAGTTTTGTTAATGATCAAATTCGACTCATTTATGGCTGTGAAACGAAAAGTACAAGTCCAGTTTGAAAACAATACATCAAGTGAAAAGTAGATTAAAGTTATATTTCAACGCTTCTGTCAAATTGGTACAGTGGGATATCGAAAACGTTCTAGAAGTCTGTCAAAAATTACAGAAGAAAATATTGATGAAGTTAATGATGATTTTCAGTATCAACTATAAACGAGTGTTCGATGTGTTGTAACAGTCTGCTCCATTGTACGAACTACGACTGTACATCATTTACTTGAATCGCACAAAATACAATTTGGTCAAAAACTCTATCAAGAGGATTGCAAAAAGGAGTTGGGACATGTAATACTCTGATACCAATGTTACAACATCATCAGATTCAGCAAAAATCATTTTTTTCTGACGAAGCAAACTTAGATAGATTTTTATCAACAAGCATAGAACTAATCCACATTTTACTATTGAAAACATTATGCAATGTAGTACATTAAGCGTTTGGCGTGTCATATCAAACACTCCTTTAGTGGACTACTTTTCTTTGAATATGATGTTACTAATGGAAAAATTAATTCTTATTGCGTCAAAAATCCTTTATTCCATAGGTCAGGGTATTACACGAGCTTCGTTCTCTTATGCTTCAGCTAGAGGAGCTCCTCCCATTTCTCCATCGATATTAAAAGAATGTCTGAATAATAATTTTCCTGAAGGGTGAATTCGAGAAGGTGGTTTAATTCGACAAGCTTTATTTTCACCCGCTTTGACACGTTTCGATGTTGTTTTTTTCTATAAGAACACAAAGACAAAGTCTACAAAACTCTTATCAAAAATATTACAGAATTAAACACGAAAATCGACAAAGAAATCAAATCAACTTCAAAAGAAGCTTTCTGTAATGTTTTTTTAAAATTTTTCATCAAAAATAGATGTATGTATTTTAGCTGATGGTAATTATTTTCAACATTTGTAAACGAAATGATATGAAACAAAACCTAAAGGCGTACACTATGGCACTACAAATAAAAATATAACTCATCTAAACTGTTTCAGAGTTATTCACGTAAACTATTCGATCGGACTTTTGGTAGACCCTATATATCTTACCAATCATTTCCTTGTTGATCAGGGAGACATGGAAATATTGAATGTGATTATTTATACCTCTATAAACATTAAATAGGACGTGTTTTCTTCTGTGTCACATGTCGGTGTTCAGTTCAGATACAATAATAAATAAGACTTAAGTCAATAAACAAAAAGAGAGAGAAATCTGATATTTACTAGGTAGATGTCTAATCCGAGTTCGAATATAATTGGAAATCTTTAAAACTTGATCAGCATCTCTTAGACAAAAGGTGAAAGATAAAATTTTGCCTGAATAATGATTTATAAATTATAAACGGACGATTAGCTGTCGAAGTCATCTTATAATGTAAATGTAGCAAAACAATTAAGAGAATGCTTAATCAGTAAAGAAGAGTTTTTTTCGTTTATCATTTATTATAGAAGTTATTGATGACGAAGACTTCACTTTATGTTTTTACAAGAAATCTTTTTAGTGTACTCAAAAAGCGAGTACACTACTAAAATCGGTCTGTGTGTCCGTCCGTCCGTCCGTTTATCCGATAACTTTCGAAAGAAGAGTCGGATCGTGATGAAATTTTCTACACAGTTCAGTCTTAACAATGTCTCGGTCAAGTTCGAAGATGAGCAGGATCCGTCAAGAAATGGCTGAGTTATAGAAAAAATTGTGATTTTCTACCAGACCATCCCTGAGGGGGGGTACAGGGATTTTTTCAAAAAAAAATTTTTTTTTCAGAATTATTCACAACATATATAAATCGACTCAGTTTTTAACGCTGATTCTGAATCTGATATTAGTTTTGAACCAAATCATAGTTTTGTGTAGTCAAAAAGTGAGTACACTATAGAATAGTCAGTGTGTCCATCCGCCCGATTGGCTGTTTGCATAATAACTTTTGACAGCAGAGTCAGATTGTGATGAAACTTTCTACACAGCTTAGTCTTGGCAATACCTCGGTCGATCTCGAAGATGAGAAAGACCGGTCGAGCCGTTCCTGAGTTATTGCAAAAATATCCATTTTTCCCTATAGCTTTCTGTGGAAAAATGGACCCATCGCGACTTTCGTAAGACTTTTCCTATCATAGTCAATTAAAACCCCAACTATTATACACCATTCGATAGAAAATTTCAAGTACTACAAAATGATATATAAAACATAAAGAACCAAGAACGTTGACTAACCTATGACAAAGATAATTAAAGAGAACTAGGTTATATTTTGGTCCACAATCTAATTGATCCACAAATAGAGCTTTATCTTCCGATTACACCGACGATACTTCGAGGTTTTCAGGTATGGAGAACTCAAATGTGTACTGCACTTCCATCGAAATATTATTAGTTGTGCAGTGACCAATAGAAATGAAGTTATAGGTAAAACGACTTTCTTAGTGTAAATCAAGGTGCAGAGTTAAAACTTGAGCTTAGTTCGGTCCCATATCCTGTTGGTTTGGCAACGCGCAATTTAAATCAAAATTTTAAATGTTAGATTTGACAGTATAATTTTGATATTCAGATAGTCTAGGATGATTGATTTGTATGATTCACTTTTTGAAGTACACATAACTCTCGGATTTAAATCCGAAGTTTCCGCATTTATTTCGTGCTCATTTTTGAAAACATCCAAAACTGACTTTGAAAAGCGCACGATGGACTCGAGGAGCGATCGAAAACTTAAAAAATATATACTTTTTGTTCGCTCTGTTTTTTTTTTCATGCCTCTCAAAAGCGATCGAATTCCTAGCATTCAAAAACTATATTCAATCAATCATTCATTTTTGACTCCTTGAACATATTTCGATACTTCAGTGCTCATCATAGTAGCTAATATTCGACGAGAGGAAGCTTATCGAAAGAATACCAGCAACTAATTGAACATTTCAACCACTCGATGTCTATCGAACTTCAGGATTAGACGAGGAAGAGGAATCTTACTTTTCAATGGTTCAGTAAAATCAAAACCCAAAATAATAGAAGTTTCGATTGCTGAGTTTAATTTTGTGTACAAAACACTTTTTCAAATAATGACTTTGAAACGAATCTTTCATTCGACGACCTTAGTAGATTTATTTATGTTTCAAATATATTTTCCGTTACCTAAGCAGACAAAAATTTGAAAAAACGCTTTTAAACACTCAAAAATTTGAATTTTTCGCCATTTTTACGCTCTGTGAATTGCAGAAAAACGCGTTTTTGTGTTTTTTTAATGAGTGTTAATGGCTCACAATCGTGGTTCTATTTTGAGCCTTTAAAAAAATTTTTTCCAAATTTTTGTCTGCTTGGGTAGTTTCATAATTTTCTAACCAATATTTAGTATGTAATAATGAAAACTTAGAAACAAGCTCGTCAGCGTTCTTAACGAAAGCTAAGTCAGAGTGAATCTTTATGTTTAGAAGCTGCGTATAAATTTATTAGTATGGATTGTATACTTTTTCACACAAATAATTTATTTACCAAAAAAAGTTTTGAATTCTCAAATGAAAAAAAATGTTGTAGGTGATTGTCAAATATAACCAACAAATGTGAAAATAATAAACCAGAAATTTCAAAGTATTATTCTTTATATGAATTGAAAAGATGATCTTCAAAGAAAAATAATAATTCATATTTTTTTTAGATGCTCAACAAAAACACATTGTAGTACCAGTGTTTAATCCATCTTCCTTACCTATATGTTGAGGCGTAAGCCGATGGGTCGATCGACGGCGATACAAGCTTTTTCAATTTTTTTCAATATTCGGTGGCGGCTGGAAGTTTCGAAAGTGAGCAATTATTTAGATTGTAAGAAAGCCCCGTTTATTTCAAGATCTGATTAATAATAATTTTAAGAGCCTTGAATGATATAACTGTAGTTCTCACATTAGACTAATCTAGAAATTACCTGTAGGCAATATGGAGAAGAGTAATGAATTAATGAACAACCTTTCCTGAAATTAAGAGATTCATTGGTCCAAATGAAAGACAGACCTCATTGATGTATACCATGATGCTAACAAACTTGCCCATTTTAGTTTTTAATAATGGAGTCTGAAGACTATCTCTACAAAAGGTTAGTTTTGATCCAAGTTCGAACTGTTTCTTGAAGTCTATAACTTTTGTTGTATAGCAGCTTACAGAGGATAGAGAAGGCATGTGATAATTTATTGGTTCGCTTTGCTGAGTTTCTATCAATTGATGTACTGACAATAAAGGATTTATCATATTACCTATGCCTCATATATCATTGTAAGCACTAATAGTTTTACGATTGAAGATGAAATATCATCTATTTTTCAGATTCTCACTCATCGAAGCAAATTTTGTCATTGACTCGTTGAATATCTAACATATCATTCGCTTTTTTGTGCGTTTGATGCAAATGACAGTAGACAAATTTTCATTTTAGTGCATCCAGTAGTTGTATTAGACTAAAAAAAGCTTTCATTAAAATTCTGAAAACTCGTTATATGAGAGAATATATTCAGATAGAAATTAAACCTAAACCACCAGCATTAATAAAGGTACTTTGCACTTCTGTTATCCCGGATCCAGAATATTGATTAGTCGAACATATCAACAACCGAAAAGCTTATGAATAAATTTCACCAGTCTAGTAGAAATAAAGATAACTAAAAAGAAATTTGATTTTCGCATTTAGATGTCAGTGGCGGCAGCTGAAACTTTTAAAAAGATTCTTAGTAACAGCGGCGCAGTGGCTTTGCCTATTGTTGCTCAACAGTGACGGCTTCTTTGTTTTCGAGAAAATCAGCGGCGGCGACGGCTCTGTCGAACAAAATCCTTTTTATTTTTATCAAATTTTGATTCTATCAAAAACAATATTTCCAGTAGTCACAAGTTGCGTGTTAAATGATCCATTAACGATCACTCTACTGATAGGAAAATGGAAAGTGGATGGTTCGGCATAGAATTTCGGTGCCCTCAAGAAGCTAAAATCGACGCATCAAAATACCTTTCAAATGGCTGGTTGAGATCACACCTTTGATATATTCTCAAGGTTATAAGTTCATGAGTGGACTTCTATTCGCATATGTTGTGAAATTTCATTTTGTAGCAAAATCAAATTCTTTAAGACATCATTTTTTCCTGACATAATTGAGTTACAGCAATAGAAGACTGTGGCCGAAGCATCCGCCGAAGAGTCGGAATCTATATTCGTCTCTATATACACAATCTAGTCTGTCTGCAGTTTTGGCTCAAAGAAAATCGAATAATCGTAGACACTAAATTTCAAATTGGTTGCAACCACGCTACTGCTAATAAATTGTTATTCTTCGAGCTTGCCAAAAAATCTAATACCTCATAAACTCTCTTATCTGCATGACGAGCTAGAATAACAGTTTTATCATCATTCAAAATGTAAATGTTCCTTCCATTGAAGAAGAAACCGAAATAATATGGATATTTCATCCTCACAGAAACATAGAATTCGTCTTTTATCGGTTTTTTATTAGATAGTTCATTATGAAATTATTTTTAGATTAATGAAAGTTCAAAGAACGTTATATTCAAAGAAAGTCGTAAGGATCTATGAAAGCTTTTGGTGATAAATCTTCTTTCAGTATTGATTAGCCTTTCGAAGTGATTTATTTTTGTATAATTCAATGATGAACATGTTTGTTCATATTTCAATGGAAATATTTTTGACTTGCAAACTGTAAGTCTAACTGAGTCAAGTTAAAGGTTCTCTTGTAGTCGAAAGTTAGATTTTAAAGATTAAATAACGCTACATAAGAAAACGTGAGAAAAAATAGATGATCTGAAAAATATATCGATTCTCATCCGAACTTTCTTAATATATTGTTAAAAAAAAGAACTCTATTCGAATAGATTTTATTTTAGACAATCACAATGAGTCTCATATTTTATGCAGCTATTCAAGTTTCTAAATTATCAAAAATTTCACCACAATAAATGAAACATTATTATGATCTTTGTGATCGGAGAATTAATCTTAGTTGATTGTTCAAGTTTATCTTTATTTAAGAATATATGAACTTGAATATGGATTGTTCACATCTTGCGATCTCGAGTTCTCTGTAGAGAAATCCTTTCGTATCATGAAACTAAATGTATTACAAGGAATATTCTATGTCGTTTTCTAGAAGCAATTTCTATTTGACTTTGAAAAAGAATTTCAAGCAGTTGAATGCTTTGATGAATATTTGCTCAATTAGGTCCAAACTATAACTTCATATGACATTTTATTTGACTGTCTCAAACGTTGCGCATCTATAAGAAATACTCAGCTATGAATGGCGTATTTTAGACCGATATATGAAATGAAATAATGCAATGAAGTTACGAACAAATATTCCATCGGTTTTTTTGACAATTTCTTTTTCTCTATACATTTGGTTCAATATACTTACAATTTTGTTGATCTTCTCGGATGTAAATGATTCGATTCCAATTGATTTGATCATTATCAACAATAAGAGTTTCACTAGTATCTTTTTGAATGAATTGTTCAATTGTTCGTTGGGTTTCTTGGAGTTTTGCTTGGAGCTGATTAATATCATTTTCAACAAAATTTTCTTCTTCTCGATGACGCCGAACTTCTTTTGTAATTGCTTTAGGTTGTTTTGTGATTGCTATTCTTTGTTTATTAATGAGTTTGGTAAGTTCAAGACGATCTCGTTCTGCTGCTATTTCTACTTTGTTGATTGTTGTTTTCTTCCATTGTTCAATTTGAGCGAAAAGATTCCATGACAAATGATTGGATTTTTCCAATACTTGTATTTGATCTAGAAGTTCATCATGAGATCTCAGTATTTCATTATCGAATTTCATTGACAATTGTTGCTCATGTTCTTTGAAATCCTTCGGACAGAAGTATTTTTTACACCCAGCGCAGAATCGTCTAGATGCAAGTTCGTTGCAGACTGAACAGAAATTTGATTCAGTTTCTGTCGCCATTCCTTTTTCAAACAACTCGGTCGAATTCTTGAAAATAGGACGATAATCAGTTGAATAATCTCAATCTAAAATGAATTTATATGAATATTTATAAATAATAAATCGGTTAACTTAAGCAATATTCTTCCTTGACTGCCTGAATAAAGGTAGTTCAATCGTCCTGAATGTGACTTCATCAATGTATAATAACATCATTCGAACAAGTATATATCAATTTTCAGTGGAGATTCATATGCTTATGAGTAAATAATGGATTCGAGTAGTTCCTAATCGACCTTCTGAATTGTAGAGTAAACTAAGTGAAGCACGCAAAAAATCAGGCGAAAAAGTTTATTCTGATGGATGCGAGAATCCATCAGAGTTCAAAGGAACTGAGTGAAAAAAGAGAATAGTATCCTCAAAATGTGTAAATATGAAGACAAAAATAATGCAGGACAATAACGAGGAAACATATCGAACTGTATGAAGCGGTTCGACCTCATAATTTGGCTATGAGTAGGAATCAGTGAAACTAAGAAAATTCTAAAAGGGTGCATGTCCATGTTTTACTTAACCAATGTTATAGCCATTTTAGTGGATTTTTGACATCTGCATGATCCATTTATAGAAAGCTAAATGACGAGATTTTCAATTGAAGGTTTACCCATAGATAGATCTGACAAACAACAAAATATCCTAAAACTTTTAACACAAAAGAATTTATTCTTTTGAACATACCCAAGTCGCTTCTTTTTTAACAACTGCGCCGTAGTTACCCGTAACTTCGGCACATTATCCGTACCATTCGATTCACTGTAGCTGATACCAACCGGTTAGAAGTGGTTTCTCCTTTTTTTGTGATTGGTCGCAGGCTAGAGCTAGAATATAGCCATACAGGGATTTTATAAAAAGAAGTTTTCGTGAGATTCCGAGTGGAGGATCCAGGATTTTTTAGTATACTGGATTTCATCTTTAGAGCATGGAACCCAGATGAAAATTATAAAGGTATGATATTGGACTCAAATGGTGAGTTTTTATCGAAAGATTTTTGCAATAGGAGTTTGCGAAAGAAATTAGCATTTTCCTGAGCACCCTCAAGAATTTCCTTTTGCTATTTGTAGTATTCTAATTTTTAGAATTTAATAGTAAGCTACATCAAAATTTATCGACAGATTTCAAATTTCATCTAAAAATATCTATCAGTTGAAGAGTTATAACATTTCGAATTTTCGTTACATACTCCTAAAACTTTAGCGAACATTCGAAAACTTATAACTCCTGACCGGAAGGATAATTTTAGATGAAATTTGAAATCTGTCGATGAATTTTGATGTAGCTTACTATTAAATTCTAAAAAATAGAACACTAGAATTGCAAAAGAAAATTCTTGAGGAGCTCAGGAAAATGCTAATTTCTTTCGCAAACTCCTATTGCAAAAATCTTTCGATAAAAACTCACCATCTGAGTCCAATATCATACATCTATAAGTTTCATCTGGATCCCATGTTCTAAAGATGAAATCCAGCATACTAAAAAATCCTAGATCTGCCACTAATTCCGACTCACAATTTATTTTACCACAACAGGTAGAACACTTTTCCGTGTAAAATTTTATAATTTTCAATAAAATTTTTCATTATTATTTTTCTAAAATTTGGATTTTAGTTTTGTAGATTAAATGTTTTTATTTTTTAAAATATAAAATATGTTTTTAGAGCATTTTTTAAGAATTGTTCTTAACAATATTGTAATTTTTTCTATTTCAAATTTTTTTCAAATTTGTTCTTCATTAATAAATTTGTTTTGGAAGTTTTTTTGAACTTTATAATGTTTGTTTATTTAGTTTTTGTATATTTTAAAAATTTTTATAATATATATATAATAAAAACTACTGATATAGTGCAAACCGTTCTTATGTAGTCTTTTGTAGCAATTACGACGCAGTCACACGTAACTGCGTTACAATTTGACCGCAATCGAATATATGGGTATCGAATATCCAAAGAATGGTTAAATAGCACAAGTCAAGCCATACACAATCGAGCTTTTTTCGACATTCGATATCTCAAAAATGAAAAAAATTTGTTTGCGCCGAAATGTGTAGGATAATCTATTGGTCGTGAGATCTATCTCTGAATAAATTTTCAAGTGTCGTCATTTAGCTTTCCATGAATGACTTATCCAGTGCCCGAAAGTTCACTAAAATAGTTATAATTCTGGCTGAATAAAGCATGGTCACGTAGCCTTTTCGAATTTTCTTAGTTTCGCCAATTCCTGATCATAGCCAAAATATGAGATTGAATAGCGTCTGACAGTTGGATATATTCAAGCATAGGATTTTAATGTGTATCAATAAATTTGTGTATATAATTGTAGATTCTGGAAGCTGTTAGGACCTATCAGAATTCTCGCTTTCTCTATCGATTCCATATTACTCTAATACTTGGTAGTTTCTTCCGAATTCTGCCTGACGTCAATAGATTGTAATGGATTATCTTAAATCATAGTCGAACACTATAAGTTGTGAAAAAATTTCGCATACTTTGATAATTCTTTTCGACAGTCTATTGATACTCAAAGATTCATCAGAATTTGCCATTTCCTCGTTGACCAAAGGTTGTCAGAACTTAAGACAATCTACTAATGTAGTTTCAATCCTGTTGTTTTTTGAGAAAACTTTAAAAAAATTTTCAGGATTCTAAATCTGAAGGTTCCTATCAAGTCTCTTTCAGGTTCCTTTTTCGAATCATAGTAGTAGTGATGTGCAGGATGTCTCATGATGCAGCACAGTTCTTTTGATGATTTCTTCAAGTTCTTGCTCATAGGTTCTAACGAAAAGGAAATGAACGATCTTATCAGGATTTATTCCTGATACCACTCAGGACCTTGACAGAAATAACAGAAGGAATGATGTCTAGATTTTATCATTTTTTATCAGTCTCTATGCGATGATCATCTGATTTACGACTGAATCATGCGCGAATCCANGAATTTGCCTCACTTGTTAGCCTGCCATTAAATGTTGTTCAATCATGTATAAAATAGACTGAGAAAGTATACGAATAGTTTCTATCTTCATATTAACTTTTTCTGTACATTATAAACTTCTACACATGTGCTATCTATACATATCCAAGAAAACTTCTTTTGATCATATTTTTGATTTTTTAGATCGAAAAATACCATTCGCAGTGATTTTGTCGTTTGTAGATTTATAGATTGATGAGAAAATTACATATAAAAGAGGCAAAATGAGTGAGTGATAAGAATACATGAACAGGTTTTAATTTAGATTGTAATCATCAGTACAAACACGTGCTGGACAAAACGGTGGCGAACGCAGTTCAAAGACTAGAAAACTACCACAATGTGTAGTTCGAATCGGTGTCGAAGCTCGACACGGTATGCGCATTTCATCTGTATAACATAAAGTACTTAGTGTCGTTGTCCAAGGTTCTGTGGGATAAGTACCTAGTAGCCAACCAGATTTCTGAGCACCACAGCCTATACCTGGTGCTTGTCGAACAATTGCATTACCGGCTCGATCAATAAATCGTGTCCAACCCACAACATCACGATCACAAAGCACACCTCCACCTGTACCCACGCGACGTGATGCATCATCACTAACATTATATACCGTACATTCGATTGGTAAATCTAAGTAAAAGCATAAAAGATATCGAACAGATTGATAATATCATTCAATTATTTAGAATAGGAAACAATAATAAAATGACACAACGATTTTTGTATAAACGTAATACTTCTTACTTTGTCTGTATTTGGCCAAACCGAGTGAAATGAGCATTTCATCGAATTCATTTTGAACATGCCATGAAGGTGGCAGAATTTCTCTATCAGCCGACATATTACCTCGATTCTTCCATCGACGTAGTTGTTCCAACGCATGTTTGAATAAAATTGGCGGTAAATCAATAAAAATACGTCCATTTTCATCGTGTTGAATTAATTTTGAACGATTTTCGGTTGTCGAGAGAAGGACTGACGAAAGAACTGTATTGGGAATATAAGTCAATGTATCTCTTGTAGCATACATTAGTTCTCCACCCACGTTCAGTAAGTAAACTTCATTATTATGTGAAGTGTGAACATTACCGTTTTGTTTCATCATAGATAGACTTGATGACATTGTTTGTGATTTATTAAAAAGAGCTCCTCTCACAATGTGAAGTACCACCGCAAACTGCAGAGTTTTCTATCAAAATAATAAATCAAAAAATTATTTTAAAGAAATATACGCAGAAAATGAAGACAGTTAAATGATACTATTCTTCAAATCGCATATAACGCTGAATGCAAATTTTAACGATACTTATACATCTTAATTACGAATAAAGAAATTTCTATGCTTAGATGGAACATCTCATTTTAACTTTTGATTATATTAAAAAAAAAAAGATCACGCATTTTCATGTGTACATTCATTATGTACTCATCATGACTCATTATTAAAACAAAGATAATTTGTATTTAAATCGAATTCAACAGCATCAAGTGTATAGAATTATCGAAGATATTTTTTTTTATGATAGTATGGATGGAACCTCAACTACTTCATATTGTTTTAAAAATAAATAAAAAACTGAACGATATATTTACGGAAGAATAGGAATAGATAGACTTTAAAATCCTATCGTTTTAATTAATATATGTATATGTTTATCGAATGAAGAAATCTTTAAGAATCAATATAGTAAATTTACGAACAATAAATTAATACATTTATCACTGTGAAATAGTATAAATCAAAATAAAACATTATTTAATCAAACGCTACTAATAAAATATTGAAAATATAAAGAATATCCATATTTTAATATGAATATATTTAAAGATTTATTTTTCATTAATATTTATTATTTTCTTAATTTTTTTTCTGAAAATCTTATTAAAAATATTATATCGAATATCAGTGTATTGATAACTCTGTTCTTTAGATTACTTGAACTAATAAAAACAGATATCTTTTGGAACTATCGAAGAAATTATGTTAATTTAGATTTGATATGTATTTTGTATCCAATAATCGTTTGAAAAAAAACATTTATTTAAAGCTCAGATTGTATATGTAAAACTTACTTACAATGGGAGATACCATCAGTACCATTTCTGACTTATGATACAGTTATTCTTTGTAATAGTCGATCGTTTGTCCCACTGTATACACATACAATATCAGATAGAAGTAATGGCAAAGTTACATATAGCCACGTCAAGCAATCAGTATAAGTATAACATTTATTCTTTCTAAATGTTGCCTTCTTTAGTAGCTGAAAAGATAAGAATAAAGATCTTTTTTTTCTTTCCTTCTCATACTAATTGTGACGAAAAAGAGAAGAAGTGCGTCGCTCTACTGTCTTGCACAGCATTGATGTTGATTGACCTGCTTCCACCTTGATCGTTATAGGAAATGGAGAGATATAGTTTTGTGTGTCTTACAACACCATGTTTATTCTACTATGATCTACATCCAAGTGCATCTATCTCACATATATCATGAGCTTATATATTTAAGAGGAAGAGAAAAAAGAACACGGAGAAAAAGATAATGCGCTGTGTGAACAAGGATAGCGAGTGTCGATAAAACAGGCAACAATCATCTTGTTTCCAATTCCATTAAGTTTGTTACATGGAATTGATATGATCCCAATGCCATGACGTAAGAAATGACGTAGCTCGTTTGATATATTTTTGATGGACATTTTCTTGTCTCGATAATGTGTTCCTTGACACACCAACCTTTAACCAATTAATCGTATAGAAAATGAGTAAGAGCGAGAGAGAGAGAGAGAAAAGAAGTGAATCAAGGAGAGAAAGAAAAAATCAGAAGAGAAATATTGAGTTCAAAAGGAAGGAAAAGGAAGAGAACATGCAGTGTTCACAAAGGAGTAAGGGGTCATAGAAAAGGACGTCCATCACTGGGCGGCAACATTATTGACCGTTTCGTGTGATGATGATATATCCCTTGGCACACTAATCTTGTCTATGAGAAAAATATAGTGATTGCATAACAGTATAAACGACAATATACTTTCTCTTTTGTTAAGAAATGCACAATCTTGTTGATATCCGACTAAATCTCTCTTAAAGGAATTTGTGGGGTGTGGGTGTGGGTGGGGTGTGGGTGTGGGTGTGGGTGTGGGGTATCGGTGTAGGTGTGAATGTGGGTATGGGTATTGATATTATACCCTTCAATAGCGAGATATCCCCATGCCTTCCCACCCACACCCACGGCTTCACATCCATACCCACACCCATCCACACTCAGCCACACCCATACCCCACACCCAAAAACGTCGTCGCTTTCAACCCTCCTTTACATAAAAGTCAAAATTTGAGACAAGTTCATAAATCTATTGAGAACTGAAAACATTTACTGTGCAGAAACCATTAGTGTAAGCATCGGAAGAATTCTTGAGGAGTTGCCAGCTTTTTCTAGCGGAAACGTTCGCGCATCAGGATCAAAAAAGTTTCTTAATTTTTTCGCCGCCGAAGGTGGCCACGCTCGCGACAACTGTTAAGCAATGCGATGACTATTGAGTTTCATTAGAAACTCTCGAGCTGATAATAAGTTTTCAAAAAATAGGCAAACTCATTTTGCCATCGAATGTGACAGAAATTTTAATTATACTTAGAAGTTTTACGCGTCCCATAAGTCATAGGATCAGTTCTCCCTTTTTGACTCGATTCTCAAAACCTATTTGAGTTCATTCGTTATGGACAAGACCGATGAAGCTCGCACATTTACTTGAGAAAATTGAATGAATGGTTCTGAACTTCGCTACCAGAAAAACTTTAGACATTTTAAAAGCACCCGATTAGCCGCAGACAGTAATCAAGTTTTTTTGATAACTTCAGTCGTATTGCATAGGTAAAACAGTTCCATTATATGATATCTTCACAAAATCGAGGAAAGATATAGCCCAAACCTTCCGAAATACAAAAAAAGAAATAGCCTGCAAACTGTCGTAGCTTGCAGAAAAAGAAGCTCTCACGTTTACCTAAGATAAGAGAAAGATGTAACCGAAGTCTCCACAAATCGCAGGACGATATAGGCGAACTTTTCTCCAAAATCGGAGAAAACTAATTCAAAATTTTCTCTAAAATGGGAGAAAGCTACCGTAAAATTCCCAAATGCAGGGGAGGTACCTCCCCCCGCTCGCGCTGCCCTTGCCAATTTCATGCACAAGAGTCAAATGCATTGATCCTGGTCAACCAAGATGAACTTTGATGAAAAATTTCGTACTGTACCGTCACTCTATGAGTCATAGATTCTTGCTCAAGTCTTTGAAATAAAATTTCTCTTTGCAACACGTGAGACATGTTTTTTTAAAGAATTTTTTCTTTCTATTTGAATTGTGTCAAAATTAACAACATTTCATAAGTCACAAGTAAAAGAAAGGTAGGATATAATTGTGTCACTCTCATTCCCTTAACCTGTACATCTAGAAGCTGCTGCGAATCTTCTTTTACATTGACGTTCACGAGAATTATGACTAATACTGTTTCACATATTGAAATTCCTCCAGAACTCTGGACTAAAATTATCTTCCATACAAAACTTTCGTTCGACGATTTAATATCATTCTCAAAAGTGTGCCGTTACTTTCATAGGCTTATCTTTAATGAATGGTTCCTTCACAAGCATTTTCCACAACCAATTCAGCATGATCTCATCATACATCTAAACTTTTCTAATCGAAATAACTATTTCAAAAATAGAATTCCTGTAGAAGAAAACGGCTCACCACAGTTAAACTCTGATGCCTTGCTTAGTCAACAACAACAGCGGTCAGTTGTGAAAGAAAATCCTATGTTTGGTCATATTTTCAAATTAGACGATCGAAGAGGATATTCTGTATTCTCGTTTATCTACGATTTCAAGTCTCGACGAGGAGTGTTTGGTTCGTTTTCAATTTCATTTTGGATACTAATATGCTCTGCGCCAGGAAAATCAGAACAAATAATACAATTTGAATTTGGCGAAAACAAAAGATCTTGTTTATCTTATTCAGTTATTGATGGCAAAAAATTGCAACTTGTGTCCTCTGATGTTGGTAATAGATATACATATGAATTCAAGGGAGAAAATCGTTTAGTAAAGTCCGTCGAATGGACTCATTTTGCTGTTACTTACTCTCATCCGTCCCTCATGAAAGTTTACGCAGATGGCATCAAGTTGGGTGAAACCACTGAGTTCACATTGAATCCTGCTATTTTTGGACAACAAGTCAAATTGCAAATCAATGGATCAAATATGAGGCTAGCGGACATTGGTCTATGGACTAGAGCACTGAAGCCCATCGAAGTTAAAGCTCTGTGTTATCAGAAAACAATACTCCATGAAATTGACCTAATTCAAAGTATTTTAGCAATGCACCCGATTGAAGCTGAAGTAAGTCACATAGAATTTCGCAAAAAAAACTGTATTCTTAAGAAATTTTCAAGAGAAAAACAAATACAGACTTGGGTAGTTAAACTGTCTGGCTAATCACTTTGAATGAAAGGAAATTTTTTCGGTCATTAGAGAATTTAGACTAGATCATTTTAGAAAGAGGTTTCAAATTTTTTGAAACCGAATTATAGTGAATTCAACCTCAATCTAAGCCTGTCTGAGAGAAGTGGATGCGATTAGATCTAACATAGTCATCTGTCAGGAGTAGAGAACTGCGTGACCACGATTTTTAGTCACGGTCATGTCACGGTCACGATCACGAAGATTTTGTTAAAACTACTATCCATTTCAAAATATAGTGCGCCTCAGTATTTTTTGAATGAAACAAGAACGAAACGACTTAGAGACCTGAGTTTTTCACCAATAGACTTGAAACATTATTGGGCACCAGTGTTTGACATGAGGTTGCAACAATCAGCGTAATTTTCATCCGACTCCGGTCAAATCATGTTGAATATGGCGACCTCATGTCGAACACTGTTGGGCACATAACCATTTCAAATTTGATTGGTCCATCAGCTGACCAATCGGTTCGTTTTTCACTAATATTAAAAAGGAACACGATTGTAAAAACATTTTCCTAACATGATTTAATGTTTTTATTTGATTATTCGTTAGGGCTAAGTGCGCTCTTGTGATCTACGCAAGGTCGACCTCTCTATCACGTATCGTTA